AAAAATATAATTCTGGCTGGAGCTTGTCGACTTGCATACAGATGGATATGGGTTCCAGATAAAAGTAAGGAATAAGACGACGACAAGTGCATGTGATGGTAAAATTCGTATGTTTCTGTTAGGGGAGAACGCGAGCGTAGGAGACTAATTTACCAATAAATACCAAGGGCCCTGTAAAAGCAAAGTGTTGTTGAACGGGAATTTTTCTTGAGGAAAAAAGAAGAGGGGAAAGAAAATGTTTCAAGAAAAATACAATAAAAAAGTAAAGTGAAAATTCTGTATATATTAATTAATCTGGATCAAAAATTGAAGGACTAAAAATTAGGAAATAAAATTATTGAAAAATCTAGATTAAATTAATACAGATTTTCAGAATTTGTAACTTTTGATTTATAATTTATGTGGAATTAATTAGAAATTTAACTTCCAAACTTAAAACTGTTGGAAAAAACGTTACCATCACGAGCGAGAATATTTTTTCAAACCGTCTTGATCTGGACACATGAAACGCCAGCATTTTAATACAAAAACATTTCCACTAACGGGCCATTTGCATTGCAGCTAAACTGATTTTTAAACATTCAAATAAATTTCGTCTCAAAAGGAGTTAACAGCAGCGATTCCCCCTTTTAATCTAAATGTAAGATCAAAACAAGTTTTACACCCAGCATCATCATTTCTCTCAGATCCTTTTGGATGGTTTTACGGCCGCTATAAAGACCCTCATGTTAATCTCCCACCTTATAGCTTCCAGTCCAGAGCAGATCTGACTCTCATATAATAACGATTGTACGTATAGAAAACGGTAAATTCACTAGAGGGGAATCCGTCCGCCCGACACCCCCATAGGTAAAAGGGAGGGTCCTTTTTTTCCACAGCTGAATTATTTGTACCCTCGGCGGCACGAAAAGAAACCCACCCTCGGCCTTGGTCAACATTATTTTCGTAAAAGAACCTTAAGAGGAGGAAAATGAGGCAAATGAGCTGCTCTTTTCTTGTCAGGTTTTTCTTTATTTCATTCTCGCAGTGAGAAACGAGTTTGGCTCCAAGGTTAGCGGCTGCTGCCACCGCTCGCGCATAATAATATGATTCTCTTATTCTAACACACACAAAGAGCAACTTCCTTTTCGGTCGGTGGAAGCGCAATTACGCGAAAAAATGAAGCAGATCGCTGCCATATTGGGTATGGCAAGGCGCAACCGAAGCTTCCCGGAATTCGCGCTGGAAGATTCGTTAAATTGCGTTTAATTGGGAAGAAAGCAATAAAAGTAGTGAAGGTTCTGCTTTGACGTGCGTGGAAGACCTCTAAAATTAAAGATCCTGTATTCAGCTCGGAAGATGAAAATATTAAAAAGTATCTTTTTTTTATAATTTTAAAATTGAAGGAAAAATAATTATCCTTTAATTAATCTATTCAAGGCATTGCTACTTTTCCTTTAATTTTAAAATTAGAAATTCCAAAAAGTTTAAAAAAGTGTATGTTACGAAATGTTTTTAATTTATTTAATTTAAATTTGTAAGAATTTATTTCAAAAAATTAAAATAATTTAAAATGAATCCTTTTGCAGGCCACGCTTTTCCTTCCCTAAAATTGATTTCATGCATAATTTACCTGTTTAGAATTAAAAAAAATTGCTTTTATGATATTTTCCTTTTCTTATAAAGTGAAGTAATGTCACTTAAAATTTCATTCTGAGAAAGACTTAACCGAGTCAATATTATCAAAATAAAACCTGCTGCATGTCTTATCTCAAGTTAATCGTTCTGATCGCCAGTTCGTCAGCTCGAGCTGTAAATAAACAAACTCTCTGTCGGATGTATAAAAATAAATGAGTCTCGCGAGAGGTGTAGGGCAAAAGTCGAGATCTAAATCTCCCAAGAGGCGATCAATCGGCGCCCCACAGATTTAGAGAAATAATGTCAGCGAATTCAAAATTTATCTCGCCATTAGACGGGCAGTATTTTATATACCCACTCTTGATTCGCCAGGATTTACAATAAAAACAAACCGGCTATTTTTGTACGTAAACTTAATCTCTGGGGTGTTTTCACAGTCAAACAAACTTTGGACGGAAGTACTTTGAATCTCTCCTTTTTATTAAAATTTAAAAGGTGGGATTCTTCTGAGATTTTGTTTCCTCCCGGGACGCTTTGAAGCGGCCGCCTCCGGTTGAAAAATTAATGAGTTGGCTAATGAAGCCGCACAGACAGGGGTGAAAAGGCACGTCGCGCGGTATGTGTTCAGTAAGTCAATTCGTGAGGGCGTCACTCAAATCTAATCAACGTTGAGTTACAGACAGAGACTCAATTATAACACCAAAGGCAAATAGAATACTATTTAAATTTAAAAAAAAGATAAAATTTAATTAAATGAATAATTTAGAGATGAATTTTCTATTGCTCAATTTCTTTATTTCTCTTGATTATATAAAAAATATAAGCAAAATAAACAAGAAATTAAAAAAAAAAAATAATAATAACTAATCACTTATTATTGAGCAAAAAAATATAAAATTCAAGATAAAGAAAATAATTTCACTATAATTATTGAAATTTAAATAAGATACGGAATTTTTTAACATTTTTTTTTTAATTGCACGTCCCAGACTTGTTATGAAAATCTGGCCTTGTCTGCTGGGAAATTTTGCCTATGTGTTTTTTATCATTCGACGGCGAGACTATTATTTCAGGCCGGGTTGCAATTCAACTCCGAATGTGTGCGACGGCAAAGAAAAGCACTCTCGGGGAGTGTTTGTGTTGGCGTGCGGTCGCGAGTGATGGGTGGCAAATTGCTGCCTCTCTGCTCATAGCTGATAGCGCGGCCTATGGACGCCCTCGCTTATTAGATTAACGCCGCGGCGGCTAATTTGGACCGTGTTTTTCTTTAATTAAGAGACAATGGGCCTCGATAGCATCTCGGCCTTTGAAGTTTTGAAGCGGACAACTGGCACCTGCTGCTTATTCGGCAATCAGCACGTTTGATTTATGATTTGGTAACCTCGTCGCGATTTATTATTTCGGGGCGTCACATCTGAGGTTGCCGAATGTCAAGCGACGAAACTAATAGTCAAGACCATTTGTTTAAGATTTTTTATTAATTACACTTCGGTTGAAATTCTTCATTGAACAGTTTATAAAGGAAGAATATTGAAAATATAAAATAAGAGAATTTTAGATAATTCAAGATTTACTTTATTTTGCTGAAAAGATCTATTTTATAAAACAATTTAAAGAAGTATTCAAATAAAATTTAAAAAGTAAGATATTCCAATTAAAGAATTTTTGCATTGAAATGTTGAAACTTATATCTTGTTTAAAATAAATTAAAAATACTACTCATATTTTAAATTGAATTTAAAAAAGTATAATATTTTATCAAAATTCAAATAGTTTTTTTTATTTATTGAAGTTAAGATTTTGCTAATATATTATTTAATTGTGTCTATAATTATTTAATATTCAGATATCAATCCCCTCATTCATTCTTTGTCCACAACAAAATCATTGAAACTCTTTGCACGCTAAATTTGCACACAACAATCTGCACACATTTAGCCCGTTTCTCTCATTCTGAATCGCTTTCTGGCAGATTCGCCTTTTGGCCGGCGAATGGAATTCGGGAGGGCCTGCAAAAAATCGCGCGCACCCCGTGTATATAATATCAAAAATGGGAGGTGGAAAAAGTTAGACTCGCGGGCGGTTATTTGCTCGCGGCGGCCGGGTGTAAAATAAAGCTGCCGGCCGGTTGGCTCTGTGTCTGACCCCGCGACTCGCAAAAAACGACGACGTTTCGTTCGGTCGGTCCTCTCTTTCAAGCCCACCAGGTATTACTAGACGATCCACTCGCGTGCGCGGCCGTCTGAAGTCGATCTATAATTAGAGAAAGTAGTGACGCAAAGTATGCGCACTCGCACTTTTCACGCAGGGCCGTCCGATTGGGCCCAGCCGACCGGTAATTGGCGCCGGCCGATTGCGCCCCTAAGTGCAAAAGTAAGACTAGAAAAGTCATAGGGTCACGCCAAAATTTGATAAAAGTTGGAAAAAAATTAATTCATTTCAGAAAATAAATTAAAAATTATAATTTCTTTGAAACTGAATTACAGTAGTTTTTTAATAATGAGATTTTTCTGTAAAAAGCTTCCTAAATCGGCAAAATTAAAAAAATTAAATATTTTGAATGCCTTTTCACTACTAAATTTGGGTTAAAAAAGGAATTTATAGAAGATTTACAATTAAATAAATAGTTTAAATACATCTTCAATCATCAAATAGAATATAAGTTAATAAAATTGGTTCAAGTTTATGTCCATCAATTGATTCCAATCGGCAATCATCCTATAGAGTCATCGTTTAAAGACGCAATTACAGAGCGATAATTCATATTTTGTGGGTACCCGTCCTAGGGCGAGGAGAGATTGCGTCATGCTCGCAGACACAAACTACCACTGTCAAGGCCGACACTCTTTCACCACTCTTGCACCTAAGCATCTCGTGAATAATTTTTTTTCTCTATTTTCACTTGCGCCACCGAGCCAATTTGCAAGTAGTGTTGGGGCACCCGGTGGTCATGGTATGCGTTGTAAATAGTGGAGTACGTACGTATGCCATGTGGTAATTTGGCACTAACGAATGAGCCCCCCAAGCAAGTAAAAAGAAGCGAGCAACATTGTAGGCAGCGAGAGCAAGGTGGCCGGCCTAATGGCTCGATCGCTTTTTTTCTGGCACTTGTCGCGAGTACGGGCCTATCACGCCGGACACGTGCGTCGGCCACTGCTAATTTTCAATCGAAGAAACTTAAGAATGTTCAGACGTGCCACGGGTACTTGACACTTCAAAGAGCGCAAAAAGTTACAAAAAAGTAAAAATAAAATAACAACGAGGCTACAATTAGAAATAAATTCATTCAAGAGGCTTTCTTACTTTCCTTTCCATGTTACAAATTCATATAAACTAAATTTTTTAAATAAAATTAATAAATAATTTTTGCTCTTTGCTTTCAGGATTTACTTGAAATCAAGCCAGAGCAACTTCCCTTGGAACTGCTGACTTTGGAAATCAGCCGGTGCAAAGAGGTGCGGCTTCTCCAGGGTGCCTTGTCCTTACAAAGGGCCCTGAGAAAAATCCACGCCCGTGACGTTGGCAGCCTGACCCTGAAAAAGAACTCCTTCCTTAACGCCACTGCCACAAACACCCTGCTTCTCGTGAGTTTTACTTAAAAATTGATTTTCATAAACAAAAATAAGGGAATATTTTCCAGGTTGAAAATTGCTCCACTGTTGTTATTGAAAGTGGTGCTTACAAGAACACCCTGACGCCGCAGTCCATGTACCTGGAGAAGGCCAATCACGTTGTCATCCAACCTTCGGCGTTTTCGTGGATTCAGGATTTCCAGTTCAAAAAGGTGGCTCGGCTGGAGTTGCACAAAAATGCCTTTTCACAGTCTGGAGCTGCCATCGGTCACCATGGGCCAGCAACAAAGGTTTTTTTTTTCAAAAAATTATTTTTAAATTTTTAACTTTTTTCTTTGGCAGGTTACAATTGAGGATTCGTTGATTCCCGAGATTCCCGGACTGGCGTTTCCTTTGAGTGCAGCCGAGTTGCGCATCCACCGCAGCGGAGTCAGTGCCATTCGTAGGGACGCATTCAGCGGCCTTCTAGTCCTCAACCTCTCCATTGAACACTGCAACCTGCACACTGTCGAGAGTGGCGCGTTCAGTCCCAGGACGCTCGTGCACAGGTTGAACTTTAACAACCTGACAATCGACACTGTTCATTCCAATGCCGTCCAGTCAGCCATCGCCAACTTCACGCTCCAGAATACAAAGTACATAATTTCTTAATTGAAAGCTCAATTTAGAAATATTAAAATATATATTAAATGAATTTAAAACTTATTAATTAATTCAACTAATTAATTTAAAAGCAGATTTATAAATATTTTATAATTTTTAATATAACTAATGATTTTTTTTTCAAATTTGTTTCAGGATTGGTGAAATTCGAGAGGGTGGTGTCAACGTCACCGCAGCTACCGTTACCCTGGTTAGCAACACGTTCTACAGGCTTCACTCCCGAGGCCTGGCCTTCTCCCAATGGGACCGCCTGGAAGTTGTTAACAACACCTTCAGGAACATGGGCTTCAGCGGCGTGTGGGCTCCATCCGAGCGAAACGATGGCACCGTTGTCTTCATAGACAACACCATTGGGCAAATGTCACCTGAGCGTGGTGTTCTGTACTTTGGAATCTCACCACGGAGCAACTCCCTGGACGTTCAGGTGCAAGACAACCGCTTCCAAAGGGACTGCGTCTGCAGCGACTGGTTGAGGGAGGAGGTTTCCCCTCGCAGGGGTGAGCCTCTACCTTCAGACTACGCTCACAGATCGACCGATTTCTGGGTGGAGGCCTTTAAGAACTCGTCATACTGTGTGGTGAGGGATGTCTTGTCTCGCTGCTTTGGTAGCAACACCACCAGCAGCTTTATGCGTACTTCCAGTTATTCGGACAGAGTCTGCAGCGCTCGCACAGCCATACAGTGCCAGAACGGCGAAGTAGTTGATATCCCTGATCCAACAACCTCCAAGGACATCACTGTGTTTCAACTAGCTTGGCCCCTTCTAGGTGTAGCCATGCTCGGTGTTTTAATCATCGTCATAATCAACGCGATGGTCAGATGTTATAGGCAGTACCCAGGAGACAGACTTTCCGCCTCCAAAATATTCCCTTGTCTGAGGAGACGAGAAGTGGTGGATGTAGAGACGCCCACTCTGCCCATAGGGACGGTAGTTAGTAATTCCATCGACTTGCTACCGGGCCCTAGGAAACAGAAAAGAAAGAAGAGGCACAAGCGGCGAAATGTGGGTGTCACCGCGAGTGAGGACAATACTCTGATTATGGATGAAGTGACTCCTGGAAGTGAATCTGGAACCGTTCGAACGACCGCCTCAACACTGGACTCTGAAATTGAGGTTGCTGACCACGGAACTCAGACGGTTGGCACCGGAACTTTGGTGGATGACATTTTGTCTGACCTCAAGGAGAAGTTGAAGGATCCCAAAGCCTATGGCGAGACGAGGGAGATGATCGAGAATATCTATAACCAAATCACCACAGAGTCAAACCTGAGACCAGCCATTGCTGAGAACACCTACGCCGAAATCCAGCCTTCCACCTCTTCAAGCCAGAGTCCGGTGGTGTGCGAGTACGTTGACCCCAGGGACAGACGGAACAACATCTACACAGAACCGCAAACACGCCTCGGAAGAATTTACAACTTCGTCATGGGTCACTCGCAGAACAATGAAGTCCTTGAAGCGCGCCCGGCGGCTTTGACCGAGTACATGAGTCCTTCAGATGCAAGGATCAACGTTTACACAGAGGTGCAGCAACCGTCTCGAATTCAGAATCGGCCGCTGCCACGCACGCCGGAGGAGGACCTGAGCGATAGTTCCGAAGGGGAGACAGGTGAATCGGACGACGACGAGTCGAGCTAACGCCGGAAGGCGGAAAAAGTTCTGTGATAGGCGAACGTGGAAAGTGCACTAGTGATGTAAATACGGAAATTCTCGGTGTTTTGATACATAATCTTTGTGATGTCCCTGATTGACTAACTTTTATATAACTGGCCGCCTTCGATAGACGCTTTTTTATACACAGTGCTTCGTACGGTGACGGATTTTGAGATGTAAAAATCTTTTAATTACGAGACAAGACTGTTGCAACGAGGATGTTATTTAGCGTCAAGTGCTTCTCTCTTTATTGGATTCTAATCAATTTGCTCATTTTGTACATTTAAACGTCCGCAATTATATGAAAAAGTAATCACACTGCTACATCTAGATGTTTCAATTTTTTATCGTCAGAGATGAAAAAAAAATAAGTCGGTTACAGATATCAAGTCAAGGACAGAAAGGCGTGCACCGCAGCGAGAGGACTGATGATCCTCGGCCGATTTTTTTTTCACGCCGAAGTGCCACATGGGCTGATGACGACATGCGTTTCCCGCCGCCTTAATTGTTTATTTCGATCTGCAGCCGAGCAAAAAGCAGCTGTTTCGAAATAAAATCAACCGCCCGTCGCTGTGATGATGATTAATTGGAATAGAAACCGCAGGGGCAAGAGCTTCCATATTTTCTGCTATTTCTGAATTGCGGCGAAGAGACCTACAGGAAGATATTCGCGACTAGACTAATTCTAGTTTTGATTAGTTTCAGCTGGAGATCTTACATTTAAAATATCAAAACTTCCTTAATTGGAAAATAAAAGATAAAATTATTAATTATAAGTAAAAAATTTAAATTGCAATAAATTTCTTTTGTAGAATCACCCAGTTTATTCATTATTTTCAATTATTTTATTGACTGAATCAAAAAAATTAATTTTTTATTTAAATTATTCTTCACTGAAAAAATAAAATTTTGATTTTTCTTATAATATTGCAATGAAATTTTGATTTGTAGCCAAGAATAATTCAATTTTGAAGAATAAGCCGGAACGAAATTAAGAATCATCAAGAATTCGCGTCTTTCTTTCCCGTCTGGTGTCTGTAGTGGAAAAAAATAATAATAATAAGCAAGTGCCAGCGCCGCCGAGGGATTTTTTTTCGTTCACCGCCCAGCAAGCATCCGCGGCATTTCCTTTCGCTGAAGTCTGCGGCTAAATTGCCCATTTGGTTGGCCGCGTTTTCAAAACTAGAGAGCTCGCGCGGGTGTTTGAGTACATCGCAGTGTACACACCACGTCAAAGGATTGAAAAAAGACAGAGCAGCCCTGCTATGTCTGTCGCGCTTTGAGAGGCAGCAAGGACAGGTGGTGTCGCACTGCTGTGTTTATCACTTGCGCGCTTAAATTTAGAAAGATCATTTCGTCTCGCAAATGAAAGAAAGAAAGACAAAGCAAGGTGGGTGAGGGACTGGGCCGGCGATTTTGCGGCTGTGCGACCACACGCGAATCCCTAATCATTCCTCCCGACGACACTACTTTCTTAGACGCTTCCTAGAAATAGAACCGGCCGGCGATAAATTTACGCGCGGATCTTCACACCGTCGACCGGCTGTCGATAAATCAGCGATTTTGAGAGTGAGAGAGAAAAAGAAGAACGGCGGGAGGGAAGGTGATTGATAACGGACCATATCATTCCTAATTGACAGGTGGGGGAAAAAGTGACAAGAATAATGGGGAGGTTTGTGTGATGCATATAATTTCACGGTTCTTATGATTTTCTCGCTAATAAATGAATTTGGAAATTAGTTCCGAAAAATATAAATAGAGTTATTGTTAAATTAATTTTATTCCATTCTATGTAGAAATGTGACCTTTTGAAACTAATTGCAAAAATTCCAAAATTGCATTCAAAATTGTCTGAAGGCAACATCAAAGCTCACCTGGAGAACTAACGGAGAAAGAAAAGCAGCTCTTTAATACATTTTTTTTTAATTCTGAGCAGATTTCATGTCAATTTTGAATCCAGGGATTGGTTTAACATTTAATTTTCAACCCCAATGACCAAAATTTTATTGTTAAAAATTCAAAAATATTTAATAACACATTAAAAATACGGTTTTTAAATTGAAAAGTAAATAAAAATGAAAATTAATAAATTAATTTATATATTTTAAAAACTAGAAAACATATTATATAAACTTTTAAAATAAGTTTTAATTTTATTTTCATTTTCAATCTCTATTTTGTTGAATTTTTTATTAATTATTCGACTGTTTGATTTGAAAGTTTTGAGCCGTTTCCGCACCGTCCTAGGTGAGTTTGATTCCGGTGTACAAATACGAACGAGAATAGCGCGACAGACTGGGGGATGTCCGTTGCACTTGGGGTGCCAAACGGATGTCACCATCACCGGCAATCGAGGTCGCTGCACTCGAGATTCATTCTCTCGAGACTTCCGCTCTCTAACTCGTTATTATGTATGTATTTGAATGCCCTCAACGGCGGCGGACGCCTAATAATGGCACTTACCACACAATCACACCGGTATACATGTAACTTTCGATTTCCTCCTCTCAATACACACGCTCTGGTGGGTCTCTTTTAGATTTTGAAAAAAATCCTAATCGTCGGGCCACATGAAGTGAGTTTGAATTTTACGCCCAATAAAAACCTAATTTAGTGGCGGCCGAATCTACAATTAAAAGCATTTCGCCGCCGATAGAATTCTCGACTTGGTCACCCGCCAAACGGCAATTTCGTGCGAATCGACCGCTAAATTACCCTTAAGAAATCTGCAGCCACTCAGTTTTTTGTTCCAAAATTTCTGGCGTTTTTTCGCTAACCTGGAAATACTCTTCAATTTTTTTGCCGGTGCAATTTGGCAAAGGCGCCAAGTGTCGTCTCCGAGCAGCTCCATAAAGACCCTTTTTTCCTGTCAAATTTTTTCTGCTCTTCGGCCCAGGCTGGGCGTTAAAAATACAGGTGAACCGGCAGCCGGCGTTTTCATGAATGGGACTTTGCCATTCACAATTCCGGGTCTCGAGGGTTTAACTACGCATTGCTTGCGCCACAGACAGACAGATGATTTCCTGCACCTCTCTCTGATTTATTCGATTTCGGGAGCTCATAGGTTATAATTAGAAGTGTCTGGTGATCATAATGGGTCTTTGAAATTCCTTTCCGTTCAATAACACGTGCGACGACACCCTCATTACCGGTTTTGAAATCATCTCCAAAAATATCTTTAAAATTGAACAGCAGAGGACAAATCAATTTTGAACAAAGCTGAGGAGCATTTTTTTATTAAAACAAAACTTATATTAATTTTTTTTTTATTTAAATAGCTGCTGAAGTTGATGATTCAAATTATTGAAATGATAATTTGTTTAATGCATTTCCAAACTAATTTTTTTAATTTATCTTATATATATTAATTTTAAGCGCATTTTACTTTTTGCTGTTAAAAAACTATTGACATTATTTTCAAAGAATTCAATTTTGAATCTCAAAACCTGCAGTTAAATTTAAATCCGAGAAACCCTAAATTTTCAATAGAATCAAAAAATTATGCTTGCTATTGCAGGAGATTGATTTTAAATTTAATTCATTGACTGGATAAATAATATCTCGAGAGTATGCAAACCCGCACTGCATTTAAGATGTGCAAGTTGCCTATATTCCAGTTCAGAGTGCGTATCACTTTTTGTTAGTTTATAATTCAGAAAATAAGAATTTTACGACCTTGTTTAATGTTTTTCTCCTCAAATAAACCACTCGAAAGTCATATTGCATGATGTTTAAAGTTTCGACTCTGGAGTTTTCTCTTTTTCTCAAAACCGCCACCAGAGTGGCTCCCGAAACCCAGAGATGATTCTCCTCTGTAGACGAAGCAACAATATTGCAACGATAGAGGGCAGCAAATTCTCAACTACGCGAGATTTTTAATTATTAAAGGCTATGAAGTTTCTAAAGTTGCTGCTGAAACCTTAAAAGTTCCAAGTGGCTAAAATTTAGAGTATCGGGTTCGCCAAAGAAAAAGAAGTGGTGGTTGAGCCGATTTAAAATTCAAAACTGCCGATTAACTTGTATGGACTCTTATTACGCGTTAATAAGTTCTGCGGGTAAAACCTCATCCTATAATATAGGATCTCTGACAACTTTGGCGGCCTCAACCGTAGGAGTTTTAAGAAATAAACATATTAAGCATTAAGTTTTCTGAGCTAATTTCACCCCTTCAAAATTAAAAAAATATATATATTTCAAATGTTTCAAATAAACTTATAAAATCTTTTTTACTTTGAAAATTAATTGATTTTCGTTCCAGTAATGCTGTATTAATGATAATTTATTTTATAAAGAAACAAAAGTCTAGCTAATTCCCAGATTTCAGATCTTGTTTTTAAAAGCCGGGTTTTTTTTTTTGTTAAAAGTATCAAGAAAGACGGAATTTTCTTTTAAAACTTTCATGACCAATAAAAGTGATATTTTTATATTATATATTAATATTAAAATTATAAATTTATTTTCTGGAAAAAAAATACGTAACATGAGAATTAATTGTAAAATAAAATAATTTCTTATTCATGAATTAATCCATTTTGAGAGAAAACTGACCCAGTCTTCGTCACTGCGGTTGCGAATTCTAGAGAAAAGTAAACCCGTAACCGATTTCGAACACCGATGGAAAACAGGTCCACTCGGCAAAACCGCAGCTGAGCTTCTGCGTGCTCCTGCGCTGGGAGCGTGATTTTCAATTAAAAGCGCATTAAAGCAGGCGATAAGCGCACGAGTGGAGGGGGGCGGACGAAGAAGGTGCTCGCTCGCATTCTGCACTTGTTGGTGCTCGTCGGAGGGAAAAAGAGATGACGAGCGCTCAGTCGTTGGTTCGGCTGACCCGAGTGTTGCAGCGTTATCAGCAGGCCGATGACGCGGCCTTATCGCCCGTCGGCATCACTCCTCGTCAGACGCGAAAATGAGAGCCATCGAGGTGGTGATGGTGCTCGTCGCCGTGACTTCGGCGCGCGCGATTTTGCACTCGGCCGGTTCGGGCTTCAACAGGGAAACCACCCTGTGCGAGGACACCAACGAAATGTGCGGATGTGACCCTGCCAGAGAAACCATGCGTTGCTCATGTCCAAATAAGGTATTTTCGTATAAGGGAGAAACTTTCCGAAAATTAAATTTATATAAATATTTTTTATTTCATTTTATCCCATTCAAATTAAAAAATGCTGTGAAATTTTGAAATAAAAATTTTAAATTTCTGATTGTATTTTTAGAATTATATATTTTTATTTATGAATTTTTTTTTAAATTTTTACCTTTGAAAATTTTAGCAATTCATGAATTCAGAAACTTCAATGATAATTTTTTTTTAAATTTTAATAAAATCAAAGTTTTGCATTCATTAACATTTTTCTAAGATTAATTTTCGTTCGAACGTTTTCAATTTTTGTTTTCTGATTGAATCACGCTTGGCAAACATGAAACTTCCCTCTAGTTCAAATTCATGTGGCACCGATGTCTATGCTTCCAAGTTAAGTGAAATGCAAACAAAGCAAGTTAGTCCATGGCAAGCATGAAGCATGTGGCTCCCAAACCTCGTCTTTCTTTCCTATAAATAAGCAAACATTGCCAGATCAAACAAACGTCGCCAACTCCAGTAAGTCGACAGGAATTCCTCCAACCGCGTGGAGGAAAAATAAATCCACGTGTGTTTTGCAAGAACGGGGCATAGTTCGTTGAAACTACTTCCACGCTGATAAGAAAAAAAGTATAGAGTGACTCATTTCTCGGACGTGATTGAACGCACATTGCTATTGTAGAACTAATGGATAGACAAATAAACAATCTTTTTGCTTTATGCAGAGATACTTTGAAACGTCCAAACAGATGTAGCAAATTTTATCATAAGATCTTTTGGCATGATGTCTTTGAAAGAAAAAAAAAATTGAGCTTAGCTTCTTGGAAGTGAGATTGACGGCATTGTTAATTGTTGTTCCATTCTTCTTTCAAGCCTGAATGAATTTGACGTATAATTCATTTCTAAATGAAATAATAATATGAAATAATAATATTTGGATTTTAAAGAGTAAACAAAATATTCAACTAAAAAATTTGAATTCAAATATTTTACATATGATAAAGAATTATGTGACAAGTAATTATTAAATTACATTATTCAAGATCCTGGTTGATTTTTTTTTTTGTAATTATTAAAATATTTAGATTTTTTTTTTAATTTAAATTCCCACGCTTTATAGCAATAAACTCGTAAAATTTTTGTTAAAAACATAGACTTATCTATCCTTTAAAATTTTTATCAGTTTGGAATTTTAATTTTCCAAATATTTTCACGTTCTTTAATGAAAAGGAATTGTCAATTGTCAAGTAGCATATCACGAAATTGACCCCATCCTTATTCCTCCCACAGAAGCCCACTTGCGCTCGGCACAATCAAGTGTCCTGCTGTCGTCTCTCTTCTGTCACTTTGCTAGTCAACAAAACGCGCGTAATTCCCTTAACAAGCTGCATTTATGCGAACGTCAATTCTCGTGACCCCTGCGTGCTCCACCAATTTATTTTCGCCGACGTGTTCCAACCCCAATTTAGCCATTCAGCGTTTTATCGCGCGTGCTGTTTTAACAAAGGTGTGGCCGAGACGCGAGCGATAATTTCACGATAAACATGGCGTGAGAGAAGAAGCAAAAGAACTCTTTATGCGTCTGCAAAGACTCGAAATAGATCTCCGGGAAGAAGTACTTGACGTACTCGAGCAGAATGTTTGTCGAAGCGAAGGCAGGGAAATTTCAAAATTCGTTCTAATTAAATTTCTGGATAAATAAGCGGTGGAAATTTCCATAAATCCTCACTTCTGCGTCAAAAGAAAAACAAACTTTTAACTCCTTCCTCTTACAATTAGATTTCCACATTTGGCCTGGATTTTGGATCTAGGATGCGGTCGCCTACTTTCTGATTAGATAAAGGGGTAGTCATTTCTCGCTGCGTGAGCCAGCAATGATTTTTTTATGAAATTGTAAGCCTAAATGAATGCATAATCTCAATGGCATTAGAAACCCGATGCTTCATTTCCTTTGCACTCTGCATGTGACGTCTGCTTGTAATTACAAACGGCGCGAAGTGTGAAATTGGCTGCCGAAAAAGGTGTTAATTAGACGCGAAAAACTTTGCCCTTCAAAATAGAGTCTTGTTTGGATAGATCATGGCAAAAAAAAATGGGAAAAGTTAAAAAATAAATTTAATTTAAAAATATAATTGATTGAAATTTAATCTAGTGATTAATTTCTATTTTCTATAAGACCAATTTTTTTAAATGTTATTTTCGTGAAGTCTTATTGTCAGGCCCATTTTTTACTCTTGAATTTCTAGATAAATTCTCGAAACATTTTCTGTGAATTAAAAAAATTAAGTTGTTTTGTGCACATAACAATTTATTATTCATTTCTTCATTCCCTTTTTTATTGTCTATTCTCTCCAAGTATATTTCTGCCCTCGTGAGTCACAATCGCAATTTTTTAGTTGATCTTTTCCAAGCCAACCCGTAAATCGTGACTCGACAATTAGATGAATTGCAGATATGCGTCTGCTGTGGTCAGTTCGTTCTTACATCATCTCAGTTTATATAAAAATGATGCCGGCAGCCTTTGAACTGGCAAAACAAAATCCGAATTGATCCGCCGGGCACTTGACTCTGCACAAACTCCAGTTGTGGAAGAAAGACTGAGCTTGAGAGAAGGCATCAGTAAAACCAAAAACGGTCTCTCCGTGTGTTTGTAAACTGTTTATAGTTTTCAGACGCCGCGTGCGTTTGCATTGAGTGCCAATTACGTCACTCTCTCGTAAATATACGGCTTGCTTGGAAACAGAGAAATTGACTGGAGTTGAGAATCGTTAACATTTTTCAGCTACCGCGATGAGTAAGAAAGGTGCGAAAAATGAGGAAAGACGCACTGTTAGATTTAATTGACGGAAATCACTAAAATAATACTTCAATAGTCATAAATTTTTATAAATGGGGAAACCCCTGAATGGAATTTTAGATTATATTTACCAGCTTTAAACGAGTTCTTTATTTGAATTTTGAATCATTTTAATCCAAAAGTCATCATTTTTTTTTTTTAATTTTGTTTAGGTATTTATTATATTTTTTATTTTAATTTTCTAGAGATGCTTAGAACAATCTTTTTGAAATTTGCTTTCCATGAGAATATTCCCAACTATATTTTTTTTATTCAAACTATGCCCAATAAAAAAATGAACATGTTTGCCAAATCAAATTTATATAAGTCCCAATCAAGTTTATAATTATTTAATTTTCATTTATTTAAATCATATAGATTTTTATTCCCATAAAACTTATAATAAAATTATTTAAAGATAATTTTTTTATAGAAGATTTGCAATTAAATTTCTAATTTTGTTTCAAATTTTAAGTAATAAAAATAAAATGTAATTTCCAGGGTGAAAAGCTCCACCTGCGTAACGCAACGATTCCCGTCACCCTTCGCAATCTGATCGTCAACCACTGCAGTCATGTCCTGGTGTCCAGCGACGCCCTCAACTCGCTCAGCTACCTGGCCAGGGTGGAAATCTCAAACGTCGACGTTCTCCAGTTGGAGGAACGCGCACTCTTCTGGGAGCCGCATCGACTCGTCTATGGCCGTGAGGAGCGCACCTGGGTGCACGAAAACTTCCCTGACGAAAACAGGGATGTTCAGTTCTACCTGAGCAACGTCTCGAACGCCCAATTTCCGCGGTTCTCCTTCGGAGGACACGTGGAGGAGATCGTGATGGACAACGTGAGAGTGTCGAGGTTCGAGTCGTACGCCGTCGCCAACACCTACAACGTCATCAGGACCCTCAAGTTGGAACGGTGCTCCATTGACTACATTGCTTTTCAGGTAAATTTTGATTGCAAATCAAGTTAAATTGTGTATCAAACGGAAATATTTGCCCAAATTTACATAAATAAAATACAATAAAAAAATTAACAAAAAATTCTAAAAATTGAGAGAAGAAAAAACTTGAATTTTCTTTAAAAAGGTTTGGTTAATTAAGTTTTTAAAGATTGTTGTATTATCAGTAAAGATGATCTTTGGAAAAAACCACAAACTCTCTTAAACTCTCTTTTTACCAAATTTAATGTAGCAATTTGGGCAGACTTCTGCAGAGCTTCAAATGCAATTTTTTTTATCTTTTTATGCTTTTGGGTTCAAATTTCGAAAATTTCCAATGCAATTTTTAATTTTAAATTTTCTTGGAATTTTGTATTATTTCAAACTATCAAAATAGTAGCTGGAAGTTACCTTTCATAATTTTTATTATTTTAGGCTTTTCGGAAAGTTCTGATTGAAGAGCTAATCATCAGCAAGAACAGAATCGTCAAAATGGAAAGCAGCGCCTTCAAAGAGGTGTTGGTTAAGAACAGTTTCCGCTTCGAGCACAACTACGTCGACATGATGGCGAGCTCTGCCCTGGGGTTGATAGGCCCCGTCAAAATCGACGTCAAAGGAAACAGAATCCAAGTTTGTCACGGCGACGCCTTCAGAATCTTCAGCCGAGGCACTGTCCTGATTTCGGACAACACGTTCTACAGCATCAGGGCCGGCGCCCTGAGGGGATTCAAACCCTACGAGCCGCAGTTCTACCCGACGCCCAAACCCTCTCATCAGGACGATCAGGTCGGCGACTACCCGCAACTGCTTCCTGAACCTTGGGAGGATAAGGAGAGGCCGCACGAAATGATGCTCAACAACAACACGCTGATGGAGTTTGAAAATGGTGCCTTGAGTGTAAACAGAGGGTACAGGGTGGCCTACGACAGGGTGCAACTCAACAAGGAGTGCGACTGTGACGGAATTTCCTTGTTGGCCGCAGATTTGGTCGGACTGCAAACTGGGATCAACGGATTTTCTGTTCTTTCAGCACAGGTACTATAAAAAATTAAAAATGATGGTTCAAAATTCACCGAAAATTAATTCAAAGAAAATTCCTGATGTAAAATACTTTATAATTTTTCAAAAATTAATTTTTTTAAATTTATAGAATATAATCAATATAATTTTATTTCTTCCAGAATACGTCGTCCCTCCACAGGGCCCTGTGGTGCAAGCAGTCCCGAAGCAACCAACCCACCTCCCTTTCCGCCTACGAGAGTCAACACTGCCAAGGAGGCGTCCTTTCCTCAGGGTGGTCTATCCTGATCATCGTGGCCGCCTCCATTCTCTTTGTGATGCTGCTCGTCGGTCTGGCCGTCATTCTCTGGTGCAGTTACCGCCGCAACAAACTCCAAATAGTCAAGCCCGAGAAGAAGGTCTACCAGCAAACCGAGTTCAAGGTGGTGTACGAGCCGGTGACTGAACTGCAACTGCAGAACCTGCCCACCCCCAAGACAGTGCAGGTGCCCCCTGAGATGCGGCCTTTGAGGCCTGTGACGGAGGAAGAGCCGCTCGAGGAGGTGCAGGAGACAAGAACCGAAGTCATACCGTATGCAACCGTGCAAATTGTGAACGGAAGCAAAGAGACTGTGTATGAAAATTGTGCTGCCGAAGGACAGCCACAAGTGATTTACGAAGAAATTCAACCTGCAGAGCGACGAGTGACTTTCGCTTCCAGAACTGAAACTGCCGCTCCGAGAGAGTTCCTCGAATCGGATATAATTTAGAAATAACTTTTATATATATTATCATGAAAACGGTTATGCTTCCTTAGATTTATTATTTCCAAAAGTATTTGTACTTAAATACGTTTAGTTTAAATCAATCTGAAATAAGTTGATTTTTAAACTTTAAACTTTTAGCAACTTTTCTCAGTATTATCATGTGTGCCATTTCAAGAAATAATTGCATGAATAAAATGCACGTCCGAAGACTGGATTACGATTTCAAAGTATCATGTGTTTGCGCTTGCAGTTTCTTGCAACCCGACACCGATTTGAAACCGCTACTTCAATAGCAAGTGGCGTCTGAGCAGAAAATAAGCCAACTTTGCGCGAGTTCGCATTTAAATTCATTGATAATTCGCCGGCTGTGCATCGAATGTTTTCACTTGAATAAATAAATCACGATTATGCAAAACGCGACCATCTTTCAATACATGCAAATCGCTTAAAATAAATATTGCTCTGTACTCACCTAAACGGGAGGACGCCTTGCAGAGCCTGGTTGATTGTGGGGGGACTAGCAAGGGCGAAACCCTTTCCCAACAGGGTGCTGTTTTGTTGAAAGACTTGCTGGGCCACTTCTTCGACGGCCTCTATGTCTTCGTCAACCTCCTCAACTTTAAAATAAAAAAGTATTAAAATTTGTATATCAATCCTGTAACTAAATAATAAATACCTGAAGCGGGTGGTAGTTGAAGATCTTTTTTCATCAAGGAGGCAGCGCACATTCCTCCCAGAAAGGCCAATTCACATTCCAAGTGGCGCAGACCATCAGCAGGTGCGTTTGGCCATTCATATCCAACAACCAAGCACCGAAAGCCATAGTTGTTTGCCTTTTCATCCTGCACATAGTCTGACGCAGTCTCCAGAGAGAAGAAAATCTCATTTCCTGTGAAAATATTTTTAGTTCTTCTGCACAATCAAGACAATTTAGTTTTAATTTGGAATAAACATAAATAATAATAACATAAAAACGTTTCAAGTTTACTGTAAACAGTACATTTTTGTTGAGGTAAAAAAAAATATTACCTGGCAGGACTATGGCCATTTGGGGCCAGTTGTTTGCTCCGCTGAATTTGGTGAGCACCGGCCAGTAGTTCTGCACACCATCCTCATCATCTCCAAGTGGCTCTCCAGTGGCCAACTCACCCATGGGTTTGATGTGCAGTTGAAGAGAGTCCTCGGGCTGGGCAGTCCCGCACTGAGGGTCAAACTCGACCGTCAACCACTTGACGCTCTCTGGAAAGACCACCTTCCAATTGGAGACGACGGCCGCCTTGTAGGGGTGCTCGCTTTCGACAATGGCGTGGTGCAGTGAAGTGGTGGTGGTTGTGTTGACGGCAGAGGCGTTGGACAAGTCTTGGTGGCCACTGCTGTCCAACGAAGCAGTGCTTTTGGCCATGGCAGCTCCAGTCAGGTTCAAGGCCGAAACGTGGGGCAGCAGTTCTTGGATTAGCTCCAGCACTTGGACCGCACTCCTGGGGTCTGAAGTGGCCACGGGGCTGATGTTGGCCAGCACAAGTGGAAGGAGGGTGGTGAAGATGTTGGCCGCGGCCAAAATGTCATGGTTGGCCGAGTCGTAGCTGCGCGCGGCTGCCAGCAAAGTGCCACTGCGTTTTATTACCGCTCCTGCTAGACCTAGGGTGCACTTTCGGGCCTGCATTTCAGCAACAGCTCTGCTATTTTGTTGATTTTCAGAGTCCTGAGAAGAGTTAAAAATATAACCAATAATCATTATATGACAGCTTTTATTTGAAAAATCTTAAAAACAAATTTTTTTAAAAATAATTTAAATCATATTTTTCATAAGTTTTCTTTTCTAATTTGCTTTTAATTTGAAAAATTTCACTAAAAAAATTAATCAAACAGTAATACCTGAGGACTACTGTAGTAAAGAATATGAGGAATTTGTCCTCTGGTCTGGGTTGTTCCATTAAAGCTGAGGGAGCAAGTGCTGAAGGTGAATGTTGTTCCATCAGGGCCTCGTACAGTCTTCAAGCCACCGTCACCATTGTTGGTGCGTCCACCATGATTGCGCAGCCGAACAGCATATTTGACACCCTCTCTGATGGCCACCGGCTTTTCGAATTTGATTTCAGCCACGTCCGAAACACAGTCATCTGGACCATAGGTGCCTCGGGCAATTTCCAAACTGTTCCAGCGTTGAGAGTGAGATGGGTCAGCGGAGGTTGCGCTGTTTTGGTCGTCCAAAAGCTCCAGCTCGTATTCATAAATTCCTCCTCCACCATAAACCCCAACACCTGTTAAAAATTTCAGATTTTTCAATTACTGCAATATTTAATTTGTAATGAAAATGTAATCTTACCAATGATTGCCACACCAGGTCGATCTACTGTAAAGCAAACAGCGTCTGGAGACCCATTTCCTGTGTTCCACGATCGGCAGTTGTTGCACCTCATGAATCTGCAGGGAGTTGTGTGCATCACTCTTCCACAAGCACCTTCCAACTCTTCATCCGAGCCACTTGACTGAGAAGCGAGTTCTGCAATGACCCGAGCAATCAAGTGGCAGCAATGATGGGTCAGCTCAGATGAATATGATTCCTAAAATGTAATTTTTTAATACAAAATAACTAAATTATATAAATTTTCACTTTGTCTCTATTTAGAGCTTCACTTATTGGGACAGTCACTAAATCAAGCAACTTTTCTAAAACATCTTTAAACTGCCAACAATTAGTGCCAAGACCTTCCTCCATCTGAAAATAATAAATTGAGTTCCTACATAATATTTATTTTAATTTATAAAATTACCTGGCCCCTGTAAATCATATGTTCAACAAGAAGAGGATATTGGTGGGCATCAGGAGATCCTCGAACAACCACATTGTGAGGGTTGTCCGGAGTCACTGGTTGTGAAGGCCCAGCTATGGCTTGAGTGTTGTTGGCAGTGGTTGTGGAAGACGACCCTGTCGAAACTGGCGAGGAAGTCTCTGGAGATGAATCAGATGAATAGCTCTGCTGGTTTGACTCCTTTGGCAAAGGTATAGTTGTGTGCTCGAGAACACCAAGGACGGGGAAAGTCGACCTCAAGCGCACGGCTGGGTGACACAAAGAGGCCAAAACTGCACTCAAGAGTTTGTCCAGGTTGGCGCTGCTGTCCATTTCAGACAAAAGGTGGCACAGTGCTGACCAACGCAGAGAAGCGGTCGGATAGAAAGCATGGAAGCAAGCTACAAAGGTCAGGTGTGCTTCTTGCAGGACTTCATTGATCATTTTGGTCAACAGGGGGTCATCAGGGCCTCTTTTAAGGCTTTTACCAGACCTTTTGGATCTAAAATATATTAAATTTATATCAATGAATTAATTAAAAAAATTGCATTTCAAATTTACTTTGGTACTGGATCAGAGAGAATTTGTCTAAGCAAAGAACGAACGTCACCGACGCTTGACGAAAGCTGCCCGGACTCAGCAGGAGTCTTTTTGGGCTCATTCGGGTAGATCTCATTTGTGTATGTACGAAGCAACCTGAGGCACGCTCTGCAGACAAAAACCAGGTTCTCCAATTCCGCAATGTTGACCTGTGTTGCCAACAGGCCTGTTTTGAAAGTTGTCCAGCCCCACTGCAGAAGGGCAAGCAGTGCGTGGAAACACTCTCGGCTGACGGAACGGGAAAAGCCTTTGCTCAGCTGGTACACAGGCTCCAGAAGGTCCAGTTTGCAGGATGGTAGTTGGCTTTCAGGGACGACGACCTTGTATAGGATCTGAGGAATTTGTCCTCCATTCACATCCGTACCATTGTTAGCCCGTCGTGATGACTTGAAGCAGAAAACAACCTGAAAAATAATTGTTTTTATTAAAAAATATTAATGTTTGTTAGTTTAAGATTTTTAGCAGAAAAATATACTAATTTCATCAGTTTTTTTTATGAATCAATTCAAGTTACTGATTTAAAATGAATCTCAATGAAGTGCAATGTCATAAATGGAGAATTAATTATTGGAAGCTTTGAAATTCAAGCAGTATAAAAAAATCTTTGCTCACTTGATCTTCAGTGCTGACAGTTCCTTGTCCGCTGGAGCCACAGTCACTGGATGGTCCTCCAATTCTGGCCCAGGCGACATACCACCTGTACTGCTGAATTGCAACAGGCTCGTCAAACAACATTGCAAATTTCTGTCTTGGAGCACATTCATATGGCACTTCTTCCGTTTCGGCCAGAAGTTCTCCATCTATCTCTTGCTCTCCTCCGTCCATTCCAATATCATACAACTTGATCTTCCCCGTGTACTCTCCTCGTCCACCGAACAGACCAAAACCACCCACAATGAGGTCTGTGTCAGACATGAAGCGAATCGCTTCTATCGAGTGGCCAGAGTAGCCCCAGCCTCCGCCATAGCTTTCAAATCTGCTCACTGCTGAAAAGTCTTCAGAGCTGTAGACTTTCGAGCGGGCTGGTGTGATTGCAGTTGTCAGGGAGCGGCTCAGAGTTGTACATTTGCTGGCTGGAGCCGTGATGCACTCGGTGATTACCTGAGTTGAGAGATCAAGAGTTCCAGTCAAAGTGTCAACACACCCCAGCAAGTGCAGTGCAGCCTAAATAATCATGAGATTAGTTTTGAAACTTTTTATGATAATCATTTCAAGTACCTGAGCTCTGGTCACAAAGCACCCCGACGTCACAGGAAGGGCCAGTTCAGGCGTCAAAAGTGGGGGCAGGGGAGTTATGTTGGAGGCTATGGGGTTCATACAGAAGAGCTCTCCAGTTTTGCAGTTCAGCCTGTAAATGATTTAAAATTAATTATTTTCTATTTTTATTTAATTCTTAAATTTTCTTACCCCCACATCACATTATAAAGAGGGTCCAGACAGACGTTATGTTTGCTGAAGTCCATCTGCTGATTTGAAGAAAAACTTGAGCAATTTCCATCCATCTTGTTAATGACTAGACTCTTGAATGAGCTAGAGGCGCCGCAGTCAGTTGGAAGAATGACTAAAATTTGACAGATTAATTTCAAACAAAGAATGAAATTTCATAGATTTACTTATGCATGATTTGTTAGCTACAACGGTAGAATTTGTAAGACTGCTGGCATTAATCAGACTTTCATCCACTTTTACGAAAGTAATATCACCAGAGGCACCAACCCATGTAGCCCTTCGACCGTGCTGAGGTCCAATTCTTGGAATAGGAGTGGGGACAGCATACCTTTAGAATTGTTAAATAATTAACATATATTAAAATAAATATTAGTTATACCAATGGCCGTTGCTATTGTCGGTGCTTCGAGAAGACTGCCCGTTTTTGTGCGAGCTGGAGCAAGCGCCATCAGTGTCCTCTAACTCTGGTGCTGAGCGGCCCAGCTGGCCTTTTTGGAAGCTGCCACAAGTGTACACCTCTCCATCGGCAGTCAGAAGGACAGTGTGATTGCTGCCAGTTGCAACGTGGGTCACAATGCCAGGCACTTGCACATGCACAGGACCTCCTCTTGGGGCCAAATCTCCCACTCCAAGTTGACCACAGGCATTACTGCCAAAAGCGAAAACTTCCCCCGAGACAAGAAGTACGACTAAAATTCAATTAATAAAATAAGCACTAAATTATTTTTTTTTGTCAAACCTGTGTGGTGAAGGCCGCAGGAAATTTGGATAGCTGGTGATTCAGATGGGATTATTACTCTGGCTGGAGCCAAGGAAGTTACTCTGCTGGCATCCCTTTCCATATCACTTCCCACTGCCTCTTCGCCTTTAGAAAAGTTTAAAGAGAAATTGTCTCAAATTATTTTAAATAATTTACCAGCCATTAAAGATGCCACAAGTCCAGCAGCCAAAGCTGGCGGTTCACCCTTTGCAGGTCTGCCCTTTGCATTAGCAGCTGCGAACTTGGCCGCGTTCCTTGCCGACCCCTTTTTACCAACATATACTTTTCCTCCTCTTTGCAGTCTCTGCTTTCGTTCGTCCAGTCGTCGTTGTAGGTGATCTTGAAATCTAGCTGAATGCCGACCAGGGCCACCAAATATTACGTCCAGTCGGACCATGCCGCCCAAATCACCAGCACCATTGGGCCCCAGAATGGCCACGTCAGAGTTGTCAACGCTCTCTCGGGCGCAAATTCTGCAGCACCCGCACACAGCGCATCCAGAGTCTCCAGCACCACAGCCACAAGCCCTTTAAAAGATTTAATTGTGAATTTGAGAACTTTAATAAATTGATAAACTAACTGTCCAGGATTTCTGTCTGGCCGCATGCTACTCAGGCAGCTTATACTGTAACCAGTGCACTCTCGACAGATGGTGCAAATCATGCATTTGTCATGGTGCCACTTGTGTCGGCCCTTGGCGCAGATACCCTCTGTTTGTTCTTCATCCCAGTCCCCTTCTGCCTCCTCCTCGCACTCTTCAGTTGCTGTTTCCATTGCAACTACTGCAGGAGCTAACAAAAAATTAAAAATTACCAAAAAAATAAATCATGTATTATGATTCACATAAAACCACTTGAAAAGTGGCTCAATTTTAAAACTAGAAGTTTAATTTCATTAAAAAAAAAACTACAAATTTAGATTAAAATTAATTTGAATCTCTGAAATTATCAAGATATTTTTTTTTAATTAGCTAAACACCCACCTTCTCGCACTTGAACTGCAAATTCTCTTCCACATTGCCCTTTGTTGTTGATTCCGAAGGTATAAACATGGCCTTTACTTGTCAATGCCACAGCGTGTGCCTTTCCGAGGGCAACTTTTTGCACATCTTGGTCTTTCAGTCCACTAACCAAACCTAAATTTAAATATGAGTAAATTTTATATTTAAATTAATCAAAATATACCAGTAGAGGTATCGCAGTGTGCAGTGTCTTTGCCGAACATGAGCAGTTCTCCATCTCGATTAACAAGTGCCGTTGTGCCATTATTGCAAGCGGCGTGGACCATAAACTGCCCCTCCACTTTAATCATTTTCTTCGGCTTGACTGGTTTTGGCTGTCTCCTTGCTTTAACTAGAAAACATATTTTAGATTCCAAAATGAAATTAATTTTTTGATAAAATACTCTGGTCTCCATCTTCGCCCCTTCGAGCTGTGCCTACAAAGAAAACGGCGCCGTCGTCTGCAACCAGGACTGCATGCAGACCTTCATGTCCCACAGCCAAGTACATCAGTTTTGGCGTTTTTGTAACTGGAAGTTCATTCCACTTGCTCCACTTTCCGGAGCTGGCTGCTACAGAGCCTGCTTGCTTTAGTCCTAAGCTACTGCCTTTGCCACTGTACAACACCTGCAGTAACGAAAAAAAATATTTATAACAAACTTTATTATAAAAAAATGCATTTTTTTTTTTTAACAAAAGAAGATTATATTATCCATATTATCTAATTCAGTTTTGGGGGCTAGAAAAAATAATCAGCTTACTTTTCCATTGGCTGTTCTAACAAGCCCAAAATCTTTTCCAGAAGCAATGAATACAGGCTCTTCTTCGCTGTTCGTCTTGACCAAAACACTTGCTTCGGCACTCAAAGCAACACCATCTTCCCCTCCGAGATTGCCCCAAGCTTCCATGCACTTCCTAGCCAGTTTAAGGGAAAGAATTTCTGTTGGAGAGTTGCCAGTGATACTGCGAATAGCAAATCCGTCCTGAAAATATTTATTAGTAAAATTTTGATACGACTCATGGTGATTATTTTACATCGTTGGATGAAGAAATAGCAAAGAGTGAATCTCCATCAGAAAACAGAGCTCCTGGACCCCAAGTTGTGTAATCAGGAAGGTCTAGAGGCTTCGAGAGAATCAAAGTCTCTGCGTCAATCAGGTACAGCTTTTGTGAGCTCAAACGAACTCCAATCGGCTTGAAATACAACTTGCCCTAGGTTACAAAAAATAAATTAAAAATCTTATATAGTTTGGAATTTTTTCTCACATTAGCGTGTCCAAGCCACCCTTGCTGATAGTGGGAAAAGTCTTCCTTCTTCATGTACACATTCCCTTTTGTTGTCCCACCATAGCCAGTGCCCAGTTTGTAGAGGGAGCCATGGCAGAAAAGGTACAAAAAATATCCATCACAGGTCATTGAATGGTTGCCACAAGTGTAGTTTTCATATTCTAATAAAAAAATAATTACTCTGCAGTATTAAGACAAAAAAATTCACTGACCACATCCTGACAGAAATTTCAACTTTAGGGAGTCAATAAGCATTGTTCGCGGAATGCCGTGGCTAATCCAGTCAGGTCTGGGCTGCTTTCCGAGCAGCACATTGTGGACACTGCGTTGCAAGGCAGCCAAAATTTCAGGCATCTAGAAATAAATTTTGCTTAATATGGGCAAAATAAAATTTTGGATTTTTACATTAATATTTTGGGTAGAGAGACTTTTGGGACTCATCAGCAGTGCTGAAGTAGCAGAGAGAAGTTTTCCAGTGTCTCCTCTTGCCACAACCAGGGCCAACAAACAACTGCAGGCCACGGCCGAGAGCTGAATGTTTGACTCCTGACTTGCTTCGGGTCCGTGAAATGTTGCCAAATCAAGCAATAGGTCAAATAGTGGATCTGGAATAGAAGAGATTTAATTAAATATAATTTCCAAGAGAGAACATTTCCTTTTTCATTTAAATAAGCATACCGATAACATCACAGGGTTCATGTTTGAGACCCTCGGGCTGCTGTCCTTGCAGAATATCAAGTAGAGCTCTTAAGGCTTTTGTGCAGAGAACTGGGTGCAACTGTCTACTCTCTCGGAGCAGCTCGAAAACGGTGCACAGGCCAAACCCAACGAGCTGTTTAATTATTTAGTAATTTATAAAAAAATTAAATGAAACATCGGACCTTTGGCACTCTGAGAGCACTCTCCGGGTCTTTGTCTGTGAGATCATCATCGCTGTCTGCCGCTGCTTCGTCGCCCAAGAGGTTGCTCAGGAGAATCTGGCTGGTCTGCCTGCGCCACCTTTCCAGCACAGACAAGCGGACACTTGCGAATACAGCCAAGGACGAGGGGTTTCCTGGAAGCTGGACATCTGGCGGTGCGACCACCACAACCTCAGAGGCAACATCCCCCTATGAAATAGAAATTAAATTAATATTAGGGATTATTTTTTTAAATTTTGGCGCAGATGGTCTGTTGTTTCAGGTTCAATTGGCACAATTTGTGAAAATGGGACAGTCGTAAATTAAAATTCTGACAGACCTTTTTTCGCTTTTCCTTGCTTTTGCCCTTGGAAGCTTTTTTCCAGTCGCTTTTCCTGCGAAAAAAAATAAATCATTGTCAGTCAACAAAATCATGCGCCGGTTTGACATTTCGGCGGTCACATGTCTGGGTACCTCTTGTTGTGCGCCGACTGGAAAATCTGGTGGAAAAATTGTCCGAGAAGCTCAGAATCAGGCAGCATTCTGGCCCTGGTCGTTTTAGGGCACGTTGCTCCTCGACACAGTAGTGAATCAACGCAAAATTTGAGATAACATTGATTTCTTCAGCTTTTCTATGTATTGCTAATCTGTATTTCGGTGAATGTGGGGAGTGAAGTGAGGAGCCATGTGGTGGAGATTTTGCGAACTGTCGATACAATGAGACAAGATAAGGGCAACTGATACTCAAGTCCACTCCTTCCTCAAACCCCTTTTGTTAAATGTTGATGCGACAGCAGCGCTCCAGCGAGATGGTGTCAAAAATGATGACGATTATTATGCCTGGCATGGTGTATTACATTGTTAGGACACAAGCATTTAACTAATCAATAAGGTTAAATTAATTTGAAATTATCGTTTACGTAATTAATACATCTGCAAGTTTTTGCATATATTTTTTTTAATTTTAAGGATAAATTTTCTCAAAGGGTCATGCATTTTTTTCATTAAATAAAAGTTCTAAAAGCTCATATTTTTTATATTTTTATTTTCAACCCCTGCAAACACAGGATTAAATTTAATTCTTGTTTCTTGTTTTATTTTCAAAACCAAATATCATTAGTTTTGATCACTTTTATCTCAATAAACCATCCAGCTTTCAAAACCTTAAGTTCAAATTTCAAATCAAATGAAGTAGTTCAAAAATAAAAGCAAATTTATGCAATTCTAGCAAGGGAAGACAATCAGTTTCCTCATCCACGTTTTCCACACAGCATTATAACACTTCAATATATTTATAGTCAATTTACGTAAGTATGCGTCGTTTTAAGATTATTGAAACGTCTCTCAGTTTAAAAACTTAAGTTGAAAAGGAACTGTGTGTATGTTTTCATCTTTGTGTGACAGTATATTATATTCTTATCTTAAACGGATTTAAAAGTATAACAAAACACGTCTCTCCACAATACTGACAAACGCTAATCGGTAAAAAATAAAATCACTAGCTAGGAGGTGGTCGCAGTTTGAATCGTTGGTATGTCGTCCATGGTGAATGGAGTCACTTGGTACATGAAGCAGCGATTGCACACTCGAACTGGTCGCATCTGACCGTAGCGTGGGAGCGGAACCGAGTTAGGACTGCAGCGGGCACAAACAACCTGGAGAAAAGATTTTATTAAAATTTTAATAATTTAATTTAAAAAATGCAAGTAATGAGTAAAAGATGAATAAAAAAAATTTAGAAACTGATAATTCTTTAAGTTTTTTAAATTTTAATCTTCACTCTTTATAAAAAAAATCAACACTCGTCAGGTAAATTAAGTAAAATTTTAATACATCGAAAAAAATTTTAAATTTATACTTTGCAAAATGGAATAAATTTGTATTTTTATATCATTATGCTATTCAGTAAAATACTTTACCTTGCCGCAGTGTCTGCAATGGTGTCTCCGCCTGACCACTGTGAACAGGGCCTCACATGTCATGCATCTTGGCGCCATGTGATCAGGCACCCACGGCGGTGGGGACTCGAAGGTGGAACCAACACCCTCAGGTGGGCTAGCCTCTATAGCTTCTAAACTCTGCATCGCCTCTTCGGCATTCTCTACATTGGTATTGTCATCATCTGATGTTATCAAAATAAAGTAAATTTAAGTTTTTAATGGTTGTAAATTTTCTACCATTGATGACATGATCACAGTTCTCGTTTTCTGTCTCCTTCAAAACATCATCCTCCTCTTCCTCCGACTGCTCAGAGGCATTCATCAGGAAGACACACTTCAGGATGTTCCTCAAATCACCGGCAAAATTGGTCTGCAACTGGTCGGCCACCCCGGCCACGCAGACAAACAGTCGGTGCACCAAGTCATCACTTGATCGGAACTTGGCTCTTGTTTTGTTTCTGTGCGCAATTTCAGCTGCTTGCATGGCCAGGGCAATTTCCTCGTCGTCTTGGCACTCCGAATTGAACTCGGAGGTTTCACTACTAAAAATAGTTAATAGCAATAACCCTCCAAAATTTATTTTCTGTAAATTACCTGCAGCTTGAACAGCTACAACTTGACCCACAACTTCCAGACACATCCCTGCACAGTTGACTCTTTGGAACTTCAAGAACCATGCCACTGAAATTTGTATGCTTAACAATGTTAAAAATTTAATAAAATTTTATTTACCTGGAATTGGTATGATTTCTACTCATATTTTCTCTACGAGGCGACTTTCTACTTCCCCTGGGTGACGTTTTTCTCTTTCCTTTAATGAGCTGCCGCTGATTTTGGATCATGTTGTTCCAGTTCCCGGTATAGTTAAACCTTTCAGCAGGGGTCACAACAATTCCTTGTGGTCGATCTGCCCAACCCGATTGAGTGGTGGCTGTTGTTGCCGAGGTAGTGGCTACGATGGCATCGTCTGGTGTCCTGTCTAGACTGGCTATTCCTGAATCGCTTGTTTCTGATCCTAGGAATGTTGCTAAGCTCTGTTGTACTTGCTGCATAGCTTCCTTGGCTGTTTCTTCCTCCTCTTTGTCTTCTTCGCTTGTGTTAACAACAGTTTCCGACTCAGACACCTGGAAATAAATTTAGAGAAAAAAAATTATCTTTAATTAGTTATTCTCATTTCATTGCAGATTTTTACTACAAGTACTAACAAATAAAAAACCAAATTAAAATTTTTCCTATCACTATCTCACCTCATCATTCCACTCTTGTTCTTCCGGCGCTGCGGGTTCCTCTTTCTGAGAGTAAAGCTCGGCAATGAGCAGTTTGCAACTGGGATGGTCGTTGTAAAAACGAGTGACATAATCATCGAGGTCAGGAACTGGACACGACGGAGACGAGTCCTCTTCATTGTTGGGTCTATAGTCGGAGGGCTCCTCTAATGAACACAACATTTTCTCCAACTTGAACAACTCCAGCTTGCTCAAAGTCCATAACAGCTCTCTAATTTTATGAAGTAAAGTCTGAAAAAAGAAAAACAAATTAATCAATTTTTGTAGATTTATTTTTCAATGTTAAAATAATCTGCATTTTGAAAATTTATTTTGTTTAAAAAGAAAAAAAAGAGGTTTCCTCTAAATTTATCAATTTTCTAAATTTTAATTCAGGCTACACTTTAAAACTGCAATTGATTTATTGAATTGAGTGAATGTGGACAAACAAACAATAATAATAATAAAATAGTTTCAACCAACCTGAAAGGGACGGAACATTTCTGAAATATCGGCTGGTGATTTGTCGAGACACAGAGGTCCGTCAGGGAAAACAAGAAGGCCACTGACGATCGCCAGTCTTGGAATGGTGAACATCAGTGCAGGATCACAGTCATCCACTTTGTCTTGGCTGAGAAGCTTCATTCTCAAGGCTCTATTTACAAATAAATCAAAACAAATTACCAAAATTCAATTCAAAACTTCACCTCTGCAGAGTTTCGGAGAAGAGAACAATCACGTTTTGCTGCAACTCGTACTCGTCCCTCGACTTGACAGGCACCATCGCACTCACATAACACAGTTCAAACTCGGCAAACAGCCTATCAAAGATTTTCAATGCCTCAATCAGGCGTTCCCCGAACTCAGGTGGTGATCTGAAGCACTGCTCCCGAAGCATGTTTCGGACGTTTTCGAGGGACTTGGTCAGGGCTTTGGCCAGAGGGCGCATGGCGGCGCTTTCGTGCTCTCGGTTCATTATGCTCGAGCCAGCAGCAAGGCACTGAGGGAAATTTAATGATTTCAGTAATAACAAAAAAAATGTAATAAATTGGATTTTTACCTCAGCTCCGAACCAGAGCTGTCCGGCCAGGTTTTCCTGCATGACGTCGTCCGGGAACTTGACCCGGAAGTCCCGGTTGGCCCTCTCGTCAGGAATGAGCTGCTCCATGATGCGGTTGCAGATGTTGAGCACTTTGTCCTGGCACTGCCGTAAGTGGGTCACCAGCAGGGTGCATCGCTCAGGGTCTTTGCGGCCGTCGAAGCTGTCCAGCTCGGCGGCCACCAGGTTCAGAGCTTCGTCGGCATAGAAAAAACGCGCCAGTAAGGAAGTGTCATCCTTCTGCAAAAATTGAAGAAAAAAACGATGAAAATAAATTTGCGAGACAAATAAAAAGTATTTTTAGTTTTGAGGTTCCAATAAAAGCTGACGGTTATCATTTTATAACATTGACAAACAAAAAATGTATTAAATAAAAGTAATGAATGGAATTTATGTTTATGATCCAAGATTGATAATGTTATCAAAATGTACAGAAAATTTTTCTCAAAATTTATAGATGAAGGGCTATGTTGGTGAATAAATTAATATGACGATTTTCAAAATGGCTTTGGCAATTATTCGAAAGCTTTTTGTGACCTCCGCATCAAATTTCATATCTTGCATGGTGCATACACAATTATTACGGACTCATTTGGTTCACTAATGCGCGCAAAGCGCAAATCAAGGTCATCATACATGAGACCATCTTCTCTCGCACCGTTGCAGGTTTTGTGACCTGCTGAAGCGCGAAAGTGCCCTTCTTGCGAGAGCGACGATAAATCTCGATATCGGCCACCCACTTTCAGCGTCGGGAAAAAACAAGAAGGTGAGAAAGCCGAGCACTATTTATAGTTTTTATAGATTGCAATCCAAAAAAAATGATTACAAATTTTAGGGGAAAAACGAGTTGCTGCTTTTTGTGTTGAAGGCGCACGTCCGAGTGTGTGAGGCGTGGGTGCGAATGGGATGCATTCGGCTCACATATTTTATTATAGGAACTGTCAGAATCTCTGACCCAGTACGTAATGCATGCTAATGGCCGCGTCACTGTCAAATCTTGTATTCCGCATATCAATGCCGGCCTGTCAAGTCCCCTTTCTATTTATACAAATCCAATTGCTCATGACGCAGTTCCAAAGATCCAACGAGAGGAATTGCCAATGTTGGGAAGTTGAGATAATTAAATTCATTAAATTCTTCTTCTTAGTGACCTAGTTTTGAGGTCTAAAAAAGTAATTTCATATGCGTTCATAAACAAATATTCAATAAAACTGACTTGGAAATGTTGATTCTAATTCTGTATAATTTATTCCTGTGTCTATAAATAAACCAAGAATCATATAATATCATTGAATAAGTGTGATTAAGTTTGTACAAATTTAAAAAGAAACAGGTCAAAACGTTGCAGCAATGCGTCATAAATTTTAACTTGAAAATAAAATATAAGAATAAAAAAAATCAAAATTTCAAGCAATTAAAAAATAGAAAAAATACAAATACTTTATTTGTTTTAATTTAAATAAATTTTTTTGCTATTCACTAAATCAAGTTTCGTTTGAAATAAAATTATTAAAAATTTTAATAGTTCGATTTTTTCAGAATTGATTTTTAAATATTTTTCTTCCGTTTGTGTTGAAGGATCATAAAATTTAGTAATCCTCCTCCTATAATTCATCTGAACGTTTTCAAATAAAAAAATAACATATTTTATGTAACAGCTCATCAACAAAAATTGGCCAACTAGCGAGCAAGGCACTCAAAGTTGACTCATCTGTGATAAAAAGTCGTTGTCAGCAGAGATAAAAATTGAGACGAAAAAGAACTTGCGGCGTTATTTATTTCTGATCATTTCGCTTCTTATCTGGCCATTTCATATTAATCCAAGTATGCGTGTTGATAGCAATATTTAGCTTCGTCTAATCGCGCACACAATAAACGAACAGCGAGTTTTTATTTTTCGGCTCGGTGCTCCTCACTCGGTGCACAATTCTGCTGGAAAGTGGAACGAGCCGCAACTCGTTATACTGAAAGAAAGATATAGGCGTGTTTTATGTGTGTTTCCAGCTTTGTCTCACTTTCGGTTGTTGCGGCTTCAAGCTGTACTAATCGCCCTAATTGTTTGCGCAAACACTTTCCTCGGAAGCTTCAAGTCCTGTTATATGATTGCTCATTTTTATTCTCCCAAACGAGACAGGCCAAACCTTGGGACAAATTTTCTTTTTTCAATAAGTTTTTTTTTAGTTATTTTAAACAATTTTGAGAGGAATTATACATTTACCTCTTGTAAAATTTCAGGAGTTTTAATTAAAATCCCAAAATGTTAAATGTTAAATCATATTGTATGCCAAAAAAATAATTTATTTAGAGTTTAAATAATAAATAAAATTCCAACAAAACAAAATGTTAATTTTATTTGTGGTGAACGATATAAAGATTTTATTTTATCAGATATTATGAGAGTTCATTAATATGAAATTTGTAACTTTTTCAAACCGCAAATATTGATTTAATTGAAAAATCGAAAATTTTACAAAAAAAAACCTTCTGCGTAGACTTTAATACTCAAAATGAAATTTTTTACTCCTTTCAAAATTAATTTTTTTATTTTATTGTAGATAAAATTATGCGGCAAAACCTATAATAACCGTTAAAAGTAATTTTTTTTTTAAATTTTGGGAAATTTTATTTTTAGGTCACCGCAAGTTTAAACGGATTTGCATAAGTGCGGAGGCGACAGAGTTTGTATGCATTAATAAATCGATTGGTATAAGCAAATTTAAGGTTTTCTGAACACAATGGCTTTTCTTGCGGAACGAGCGAGATAGAGCAATGAGGAATAGGAACTGAAGAACTGTTGGCCAATGCATAAAAGTCACGCGCTGCACAGCCAAGGCTGAACAAGGTTGGACTTCTTTATGAATGCAGTTGCCAACAAAAGCTGCACAGATTTTATTTACTTTTCATTTCAACTACAATTCACTTTTCTATGAACGTTCCCAAGGTTTCTAGTAATTAAAAAAAAAATAATAATAATAAAATAAAACAAAAATGATCTAAATTATAGAAGTTAGCTTTCCTTGTTGTGCCTTGTTAAGGGAATTTCTTTCTGTTTACATTCGGAGGGGATCTTGTTGTGATGGCTGAAGGAAATCCACAAAAGCCACATAACTGAAGGTGATTTACATAAATATATGACTAGTGTGAAGTGAATGACGCAATCGTTCAACAAGAGAAAACATCAAGTACTTGGTGCGGTGATTTGATTTCAAACGAATCACGGCAGACTTTTTTTTAAATATATGTAACACAAACATTGATTTTTATGAGAACTTTACGAGTTTAAATTAATATTTTTTAGGTCAAAATCTTTTGTAATAACTCATCAGGAAACCTTTAAAATTATTTAATCATTTAGATTGAATATTTTTATAAAAATATAAACAGCAGTTTGAAAAATTATGCAATTAAAATTTTTTTATTACCTGTAAGAGAAATTTTTGGCAAGCATCGCGGAGCAATAATTGCGTTACCAACAGGAACAGATGTTTATCGCAGTTCAAAGCCCCGCGGGTTTCGCACGGGAAATATTTATATGCGTTCGAGCGGAAATTCGCAGTCTTTCATACACAAAGGCACCGTTTAAGCGCATTATTTTGGTTAACAATGAGTTCATTTTGCGTTTAATTTGTGAATTAAAAAAAAGTATCAAATATCGAAAGCACAAATTTTGTTGTAATTTATATTAAAAATAATATAAAAATGAGATTAAAAATTTGATACAAATCATTTTAATAAAAATAACGAAGCTTTAAAACAGCATTAAAATTTAGAAAAAAGACATCGATAAAAAAATTTTGCGCTGATTAAAATCAATAACATTTTGTTCCCAATTTTCAATACTGAAATAATTACTTTACAATTTATATAAACAATTAAATCACCAAAAATTTTCAAGGAATTTTTATTTAAAACTTTTTTCCTCGTGCGCAGGTTGAAGCAAATTAGCGGTGGCGAGTCCTGTTAACCGAGGATGTCTCCGTTTATGGTTCTGCTAAGCAGTAATGAAAAAAGTTAAGTTCTATAATTTAGTGCCCGCAAGAGTGTATGCAAGAAGAGGCAACGGACTCTCGTATATTCTCTTTCTCTTCGTCACAAATATTGATTATGTAGGTCGCTGAAAAATAATCCCACTCTGATAAATTTGTACCGCGCCGCAAAACACTTGAATTGCGCCAGCGTTGACTTTGGGGAATCAAAAGGCACCTCTGCACTTATTTTATCATTTCAATTCTCAAACATTGCAAAATAAAATTGTTAGAAACATTAAAATTCGTAAACGCATAAATGCTATTTTAAATAAACAACAGTTGGAATGAAACAATTTTGTGACAACTGATTTTTCAAGGAAAAATCTGAGGCAACGCATTTCAACTGAAATAAAATACAATTCAAGGTACGCCAATATTTTTACAATCTGCTATTTTCTCCCAATAAAACCATAAATATACGAGGTTTATAAAAAGTGCTCTAATTTTGATATATAATGGAAACGGATTTCTTGCATTTGTTTTGAATTTTGTTATTTAAATGAAAAATTTGAAGGCATCTTCATTTATAAATTGCAATAATAAAAATAATAAGAAATTTAAAATTATAGCTGCAATAAAATATTTACAATATTCCATTTTAAACGCATAAATTTGCTTTGATTCTTACTGAAATTTACATTTTCAAGAATCTAATTATTATTGTTGTTTGTACAATTTTTACAAATATCCACAAAGATGTTTATTATTTAGAGAAATTCAAAATCTGAAGGTTATTTTTTTTTAACGACACCCAAACCATTTTTTTTCATAAGCTGCGTGAGCCAGGCGAGTTGGAAATAAATGTTTCCTATCAAAAGCGCCGAAAATTGGAGTTATCAAGGCGCGACCAAAAGTGAAAATAAGCCACAGACGTCACACGAGTAATAATTATTGTGAGGTTCAAAATTCACTGTGTCGCCTTATTAAGGGCAATCACCTCGGACAAAACAACATTGAGAGATTAATTTATCACACATGCACACACGGGTGACAAGGTGAAAAGTCCTCAATGTCGCGAGCAATCGATGAGTCCATCCGTGTAAGGTCACCGTGTTTACCTTGCGGAGAATAGAGGTCAAGTCACGACCGGACTCGGATCGGGCCTCCGAGCCCAGGAATTCTGACTTTTTCAATTCTAAATTAACCAAGAATCACGTAAACTTGTGTATATAAGTTTTCGCAATTGGAAAGTTGTGCGAATTCGGTTGAAATTAACTTGCCTTGGGCTTGTAAAACCACTTCCTGAGGGACTCCATATGTGGCCGAGTTTAAGGCATCACGGCGCTCCGGCGGGCGAATTCGGCTTAAGTCGGCACGATGGCCGATGACATGGCACGGACTGTTGGCGAACGCGACGAAACTCGGCCCTACGACTGCGAAAACTGCGAAATTCAATGTGTGACAGTGAAAACGACTCACAACTGCTCCTCCTTCCTCATGTTTACTTTCCGAATCCGACGAAAAGTCAGTGGATTCCGTACAGAGGCGCTGCAGTCGCCCTAGTCGTGCGCACTCGCGTCAAAATGGCGTCTGCGCAGCTTTTCACGCGAATCTTGTGAGTTTTCTGAAGGTTCGGCCAAAACTTATTGCTCGCGAGATGGCGCGAAAAACCACTACGAGGGATAAAATGATAAAATCAACGAAAATCAATCTCTTTGTTGTACATACACAACTACACAATACACATGCAATAAAATTTGTAAGGAATCGGAAACAATTATTTTTCAGCTTTTTCAGAGAAATATAGAAAATAGTTAATAAGTAATTTAGATATTCTTTGATTGAATCCGTTAAATAATAAAATAATCTCACACTCAGGATTTTAAAAATGACAATGACTCTCCATTTTCCATTAATTTTTTGCGCATTATTTCACTAAAAATATAATTTTCTTACCTTTACGCATCTACATTGTTGTTTTTAAGGTTTTTAAGGTTTAAGCATTTCCTTTCCAAGAGCTTGTTTTCTGTGGCCGTATACGGTATTATTTTAACGGCACATATATACACTTTGACGCTAACTCCAACTGACTATATCTAATTAACTTGGATTAATTTCTTCCAAAATTAGAAGGCCCGCTCTTCATCCTCTTATACTGCAAATTAATTAATTAAACAGCCCCCTTGCCTTTGGTTCTGCCTCGTACGCAATTTGTTCCTGCCTCACATATACATTTATATCCAACATACTGATGAGTAGCAATGAAGGATTTCAGAGCTGCGCAGATCAGAGGCACGCGCGAACTTTGGGATAAAAAGGAGGAGATCTGAGCAGAGATTGCCATATCTGATAGAAACGTGCAACAATAGAATAAGGGAGAAACTGCAGACACTTCTTGTTTGCCAACCTTTGAGGTGAGAAAAGTCAAATTATTTATATATGTATTATTATTTACAATGTTAATTTCAATGTCTACAATTTCATTTGTACAAAATAAGTTCAAAATTGAAAAATTACAAATTTCGCGAAGAAATATTATCTTTATTATTTAGCACCTGAAAGTTTATCTGCTCCACAACGAACCTTGATCTCAATTTTTATTTTTAAAATAATATTAAATGGTTAAAATTAAATTTTCACGGCTCAAAATTTTTTTCTCTTAATTGTGCAAAGCAAAAACGTGAAAAACTTTCAAAGTTTTGAAATGACATTGGAAAATCGACCAGCTGAATCACTTTATTTTGCTATTTAAAATTAAATTTTTGTCAAGAGTTGACATTACTATAAATCAGAATTTAAGGTACTTGATTTGTAGAATTGAGAATTGAATAACTATTATTTAATTTTAATTTAATTTAACACTAATATTTTCTGTGGAATTGAAATTTATTGAAAATTGTCAGCCAGACGTTAGACCCTAGAAAAAAATTCTGAAAAACAATTTGGACAAATAAAAAGAAAAAAATAATAATTTTCCTTTTAATAAACGAAAAAAATCACTTTGGCTATTTCTGTAAAAATTTAATTTATCGTATTTTGCATATTTGTTTTTTAATCAATTGAAAAAGTTCGTCAGATTTAACTGATGCATTTATTTTTATGAAAATGACCTTTTTCTCACAATAAGCATCATTGATGTTACTTAATTACACAATTTATTGTAATTTTCAAACTTTTCCTGAAATCTCATTGCGAGGAGTGTCTGCTGAACCCGCAGAGTTGCATATATTATGAAAAAGCATGTTGCTCTCTTTCCATAATGCCTCATCAGCAGTTTCTTTCTCTCCTAATCTGCAATTCCTTTATGTACCGCTGGAAAATTCATCGCACATATTATATTTCTCGAGAGGAGTCTGTTCGCGGAACCTTTTGTAATGAATTCATTTCGACGAGACGTGCATTTTATGATGACGCTTATATAAATCGACTCTTTTCGTCTCTCACAGAGAATAATTGAAATTCTAGAAAGAAAAAGCCACGATGAGCTCAGCCAAATTGTTGTTCTTCTCGCTGGCGTGCTGTCTGGCCGTGGCCGCCTCGCAGACCTTCCAATACAGTAGGGGTTGGACCAACGGAGGCAAAAGGGCAACAGTCCCTGTGGCGCTGCAGCAACGCAGGGCGGCCGAGGTGGCGGTCAAGCGGGCCGTCGCCGTCCTAGAGGACGCGGGCCTCATTTTGGTGCCCGCATCGTGCGACATGGACGTACTCAGGCCGAGATTCAGAATTGCTCGAAGGAGCAGGCCTTTGCGTCAGGTAATGATGAGGAAATTTTAAAAATAACCTGAATCGAGGCTCAGGTATATGCATATTATAATTATTCACAAATCAAAATTCAGTGCTGGAATTGAGTAAAATCTTTCATTCTTCAAACAGATTTTTGCCCCAAATTTAAAATAACTTTTATTTATTTTAACAACAGCAAAAAAATGATAATTTTTAATAATTTGCTTCATATATTATAAACTTATTTGATTTAAAAATTCATGCAATAAAAGATTTTATCTTCACATTGTTCCGCGACGAAGTCAATTCAGCAATTCTCTGTTCTTAGAGAATAGCACCTCAAAGTTACAAACAAACGAATGAAAGTATGCAACTGGCACAACCTTCTTGCTATGCGGGATGCCTATCTCGAACAAATAACAGGGGTCAATAGATACCCGAGTACTTTTCAAACGCGATTTGCAAGTCTTGATAATCTCTTCAACTTTTTGAATTAATTCTTTTGTTAAATTGAGAGATTCAAAGGGAAAATATTCAAGGCTACTAACACAAATTTTGCCAAGCATCTGAAATTTTAATTTAATATTACTTTGTTCAGTAATATTAATAAAAATATTTAATGCGAAAGAAAAGTGACTTTTTCATTCTTGATTACTTATTCCAAGAATCCCTCTTTTTATCCAGAATTAAATCTTTCGTTATTAATTTAATTACCTGCAAAATCAGCTTTTTGAATGGCATCCCTTTAGGAACATGTTTAATCGCTTTTAATCAGCTCAAAATAAAAGCGCTTTAACCCTCTGCCTGTGTTTAGCAGCAGCAGACGGAAGAGGAGGAAGAGGCAAGGGTGCCAGACTCTTTGGCTGCCCCAGCATCCCCGGTCCAGCAACAAGCCGCCTCTGCAGGAGCAGCTTCCACAGCAGACAGGGGCGGCGACGGCACTGCAGCCTTTTCTTTCTAGTTCTATTCAAAAGGCTCGTTATTTCATTTTTTGGTCTGTCATTAAACGCATCTCCAATTAGTTTCGTAATTAGCATATTCTGTGTTGAAAAGCAATATCAAAATATAATTACAGAGGGGGATATGAATCTCATTGAGTTGTTTCACACTATTCTCTGTTTGATCTCCGGCTTATGTCGTCTCTAGTCCTTTCCGTATAATTTGCTCTTTAAATAAGCGACTTCAATTTGATTTGAAGTTGCTGTGGCTGGAATTTCAAAAGCAAATTATACAGTTCACATTCTGTATTAATTAGTTTTTAAAACAATTTTGGTTTTATACAGTCAGAGCATGAAATGCGCAAACGAATGAGGTATTATTTACACACTATTATCCAAAACTGGAAATATTAACCTCCTGTCAGATACTTAGAAAAAGGCAAATTGATTTGATGATCTCCAATAAATGATATTAACTAAATACAATGCAAACTGGTATTAATTAATCCTCAACGTGCAAAATAATAAAAAAAACTCTGTTTCTTTAAAATAAACAAATAATACCATCAGCTAGAGTAAAAAATCCCATTGTCGATGGGCGAACTTTCGGTCGATTTGATTGATGATAATAATGCAAGACATATACACAAAATCATAAGATTGACTGAACCTATAGCTGCCTCGAAAAAGGGTAATGGGCATCTTGTCTTGTGATACAAATATAATTAATAGCAACTAATTATTTTTATTTTGTCAATAAGTAAAATAGCGTTAAATTGTTTAATATTTTATGCACATATTCAAGCAAAATGATGAAAATTCGTCACAACGTTTCCTCTTTGTAAAATTTAAGTAGCAAAGTCAGTGAAGGTAGTTCGCCAAGTATACGAGAGGTTGAGTTGTGAACCGAGCAGAGCTCTCTCTTCACCGTTGTTCGTCAGCTTTCTCATAGATCGCGCCGCACACCCAAAGTACAAGCTCTGAATAAAGTATAAATTGTGTAGAAAATTTTACAAAAGGAAAATGAATAAAAACCATTATTAAATTAAATATTGAAAAACAACTAAATAAAAAAAATTAAATTTATGCATAAAACAAAACGTCTCAATTTTGTACTTTTACTGAAGAAACATTTAAAAAATAATTTATTTTTGGTTTAATTAGATTAAACTGATATTTTTTAAAATTTATCAGCATTCTTAATTTTTTTAATTTGATTTTTAAACTTTTAAGTATTTTATTTATTATGTTTTTATATTATTACTAATAATTTTGTGTATTAAATTATAAAATATTTAAAAAAAACTCATAATGATAGAGTAGGACTTATTTAAGTGAAAAAAAATAATAATAATGAAATTAACTTTGCATGCTTATTAAGGGCTTCTTTGTTCAAAAGCTCAATTAGAATAATATTATATTTATGAAGCAAAATTGCTTCATGCGCCACGCTTTAATAACTAGTTAAAGTGAAATAATCGTGGCATATAAGCGGGTGTGTGTTTTATGGTACGGCCACACGTTATGGTATTTCGTTTAATGGGATACGAATCGATGGTATTAAAAGCGATTCTGGGAATTTTTCCTTTCCCTGTGATTGTCACGCTATTCTCTAGGCGCTCTCACTCGACCCGACATTATAAATCCACTAAAACAGACGTGCATTAACTGATGTCTATGAAGTATAATTTACCAATGTATTCAATTTTGTCAAAAGGACTCTATTTATTTAGCTATTGCATTGAATTTAGAGTTGTTTTTTAGCTGAAACCAATTTTTTTTAAGAAAATGATTTTATCTAAAAGAGATTTAGATCAGATTGAAAAAATCTCATTTACGCGATAAATTCACTTACTTTGTGTGTTTACATTATGCTTATTAATTATTACCGTGCTGGAAATGTAGAGCAATTAATTTATGAAAATATTTCTCCCCCGTTTCCATTTACAAAACCCTGCGAGAAATTGCTTGCCCTTATAATATGTATATCCAAACATTCCGCCGTCGTTTCCCCTGTTTTCGTAATTAATCAGCACGCAACTTAAATAAAATGAATATATCGCAGGTACAATAAAACAATAATTACTAAGTAGATATATGTGTTTAATTCCTGGTATTACAGATTGAGGGATAATCTTTTAAGCCAATCTTATTCAACGCATTTAGTTTATACTTTAGTATAAAACTTGTAATCATGCAAAATCGCATTTGACATACAGCGTTCAATTAGTTCTACTATTTTACTGATTAAAAAAATTATAATGCTTACAAATTACTTAATCAAACTTATTATTTTGTCCTTCGAAATTTATTTTGTTCAATCAATTATACTTTAATGAAACGAGAAAAAAGTTAAAAAATAAATCATAAAAAAAACGAGTTACTCTAAAAGTATTTTATGATTTTAGAAAACCTGTATTAAATTTTTAAGATTATCCTCAAAAACTCAATTTTGCGATTCAAATGTGATGATTTTGTAGAAGAAAAAGAATTTAAAAAATTAATTAACCATAGCGATATATATAATTTAGATTAGATAGATCCTATATTATATTTTATAACCAAAATTGCTTGGAACTTGGAAATTTCAGAAAGTAGCTGCAAATTGATAAGCTTTTATGGTGGAGCTTAAAATTAATTTAACGACGCATAACCTGATTAAAAATCAATCATTTATCCGCAACACGCACGCCCTAGCTGCGCTGCCGCTTAATGCGATATTGTTATCTCATCATCAATAACATCAAACACCACACCCCCAGTTCAGCCAACGCGAGAGAGGGATGAAGATGAGCTCCCACCCCTTCGTATATCATCCCCAACACTTGCACTCACCCCCGCGAGTAATATGGTAACAAGCTGTCGTTTAAATAACACGGGGGATGCGCCACTTTTATTGTTATTGTCTTTGATTGACAATGTGCGTTTTGTTAAGTGAAGGGAATAAATATCACACGGATATTGGATTCGCTCGCTGCGGCGGCAACTCATAGTGTCACACAATCTGTTTCACTTTTGCTCTTTGGGGACACCAACACTCTTTGATCTGCATAATGTGGGAAAAGCATATAATTTTTCAAGTGAACGATGATGGAGAGTTTCACAAAAAATTATTTTCATTTAATGGCAATAAAAATGTATTATTTGTTATATCTGCCAATTTTTTACTGATTATTAAACAATCACTGTATTATTAAATTAAAACGCTACTTTTTTAATTCTAATTTTAAATTAAATCTGAATGTTAAAATTTTGATTTCTAGTTTGTAGCTGTAAGTAAAGCCGAGGTTGAATTAAAAGAACAAAAAACCTTTTCTTTTTCTTAAATTCGTTTAAATATCCAAAATTGATCAAAATTTCACAGGAAAAAGTAGCAGGTGATCCTGTGAATAGTAGATGTGTGTATAAAGTTCAAAAAGTTTTGCACAAGCACCCGTCCAGGCTTTTCCAGTCTGCCAGCTTTTAAAAGGCTTTCCCAGCGACGCAAAACTACTCTTTTCACCTTTTCATCCGTAAACGAAACAACCGGGAAAGCTCTTTGTGTTGCTGTTGTTGGCTGTCATTGTTAAGTTGAAATGTTTATATATGGTACGAATATGGAAGCGGCTGCACAAAAGCAGCGGCAAATGCGTTTATAAAATATGAAAGGCACTTTGTATAATGAAATAGCTACCTGAAACAGAGAAGCGAAATCTTCGCTCTTTTTGTGCTGCTGCGCTGTAGCTCGATGGTGGCGCAAATGCAAATAAATTTTCCATGGAGGCAAAGGCCTAACGCAGGCGAAAAAGCAAAAAGGGACGAGGCGAGGTTAAAGAGTGACATTTGCTTTTGCAGGCAAAATCGAGGGCAAATTCTTCTGGTATATAAATAATTATAATATTAAATTTAAAAACTTGCTCACATTTGAAAAATACAAGTTTTTTATTGTGAATTTTGAGGAAATATTAAATATTACTTTAAAAGTTTGTAGTATTAATGAGGAAAATTTTTTAACACCTTTATTTAGTTTTAACTGAAACATGTTTGTCATAAATTAATCATTTTAAAATAAGAAATGAGTAATTATTTTAATTGTTGTGTTCCATTTTAAATTTTAACTCTTTTTTATTTTTCTATAATATCAGTTCAATATTATAGGGACTCCTCATTGACAAGGTGGCAACATGCTTCTACAACAATAGGAGCCATTTGTGGCAATTATTTGAAAACAATTGGAAATATTTACTGCCATGTTGTAAAGACTTGATTTAGCATTGTCACTAAGTAGTCCTTAAGTTAATGAACGTTTGTAATCTTAGCAATTAAACAGTTTCGTATTTGATTTTAAACTTTATTTTTTGGTTGATAGTTAATTATTAATTTATCCTCACTAATTGTCATCAGTTGAATATTTTTATCCAATTCTTTACAATATTGTTATGAAGGTTCTAATTTACCTAAACTGATAGTCATACCTTAAGATAAAAAGCTAAAATCAAATAATGAAATTTTAATGAAAAAAATTAAACCTTATATACATTTAAACTGATTAAGAAATTTAACAAATTTTTTTTTCAATAGTTTTCGTGAATAAATCATCTCAAACTTGGTATGACAAGAGGGCTTGGTCATTTCACACGCCCCGAGCTGAACGGCAATCCCTGCGGACTCGTCCATAATACAGACCCTTCTGGCGGATAAAATCGGCTGAATTGACGACTTCATTCGCAGCAGGCACGGACGAGCTGCATGTTTTTTGATTGCTCGCCGCGGCTGCAATATAATAATATTGTTCCGGCGCGGTCTGTGGGGAGAGCAAAGTGCACGAGTTAACTTTGATAATCTGTTTATATGAAGCCCTCGCTCGCTCTCTCATCCCTGCAGAGGATCCATCACTGCAAAAAATATTGCGCTTGCGAGAGAGTGATATAAAACAGAGAGAGCTCAAAGTTCAGCCCCAACCCTGTTTGAAATTATTAATTTCTGTGTGCGCTCGGCGAAAATTGCCTTTTTGCACGCCGCTTTTTTGACATATCAATTCGAAACTTGATAAAAGCAAGTATATTTCACATGGGAATTTCACGCTCGGAAGATTAATTTATCGCAGCTTAAAATATAAATTTTACACAAAAGTTCCAAACTTGAAGAGAGATAAAGTTTTCTGAAATTTTATGTACTTAAATTTGAAATGCTTTTAAGAAGTAAGACAGTTTTTTGCTTATATAAAAGGTCTTTTGGAACTAAAATTTGAGAATTTATAAAAAAATTCTCAGAACAGGGACAAGAACTTAGTTTATATTAATATCTCAATTAAATTGGCCATGCATTGCGTGTTATATTTTTCACGCAATTTACCGCACAAAAGAAGAAAATAACACAGGATGTGGAGGGAACCCTTTGAGCATTAAATCTACATTAGGAAAATGTCTCTCTCTCTCTATCTCCGTTTCTTGATGAAAGTGTGCCGCCGGCAAGAGATGGAAGAAGAAGTC